CCATTGTTCTTATACACCCCTATCATAAACATGAACAGAATCAGAATTGAAGGACAGACAGCTTCTGAAAGCACCAAAATCATGTAGAACAAGAACTTACTCTTAGGGGGGAGAACTATTTTGTGGGGAAGTGGAAGAGGCTTATTAGGGATGATACCAAACGCATCCACTGATGCAGATTCCTGAGAGAAACAAGATGGCCAACCCTTCAAAACCCTCGGCCCCCACGTCTCCCCCAGCGCGGTCAACTGCACGATGCAAGTCCAAATCAATATAGAAGTCATTGCACGGATCATCCATAGCTTCATCTTCGATCTCGACGACACCATTGAACTCTTAAGCTTCTCCACTTTGCTCTCTCCCAATGCTTTCAATCCCATCACCATAGAGCTCTTCAATGACCACTTCTTCCTCTCTACCCTGCACATCACGATCTCCCCCGCTGCATCTTACAACAATTACAGTTTCCCCTCCTAATCCGACGAGATCCACCGCCAATGCCAACCAGTTCCTCACCGATTCAATCCCAGAGTCTCAATCTAAGGGCATCTAGAACAAAAACCCACCACTCAAAACAAACCCAAATTTCAAAACTCTTCACACATTACCATTAGAAAAACCACGCTGAAATTCTCAGTCTCCCAAGACTCCGCCGCATCTAAAGTCAGCCAACTCCTACTGCATTTCCCAGATCAATTAAAGCCTCTGAATGGGATCGTCCCAATTGGGAAGCGAAATTCAAATCCAGAAATGGAATTGGTTGGTCCGCCGACAAAAATGCCGACCCCCCACAGAGCTCCTCCACTCCCCGCCGGCAAGGTACGACAGCACAACCGCAAAAAATAGACCGATATAAAAAGAGAGAAAAAGAGAGGAAGAGAGAGAAAGATAATGACTTTGATAAGCAAAAGGATCGTGGCCGAGAGTATTCGCATTCCCAAACAAACACACGGAGGAGAGAGAAAGAGAGAGTAGAGAGAGAAAGTCAGAAGCCGTACACCTCAGGAAGTTAACCCGCGAGTGACTGTGAGGGAGTTTGGTTTGGGGCTCCGTGCTCACCCATGGTTAAATAAACACACCAATAAATGTAGGCCAGCTAAACATCAAGAAAACTGGACCCACTGTCTTCATGACGTGTCGTAAATCAAACGGGTCATATTTCCACGTGGCAGTCTCCTACGGCGGGATATCAAGATCCGTATGCTATGTGGGGGTGATTGTACTCATCCTTAGATTTGCGTGCATTTAATCTGCTGACGATTCGCCGACAATATATGGCGATATTTTACTAATTTTCCGCCGGTACTTCAGTTAAAACTATATATATATATATATATATATATATCATTTATTTATTTATTTATATTTACATAAAAATATATTTGGAAATTCCAAATACTAACTTTTGTTATTTGTTTGCTCTGAATTTTAGAAAGATAATTAATTGCCTCGTCTTATCTTACTCATTAAAAAAAAATAAAAATTGTTACTTTCCTTCCAATTTAAGTTTTATGCTTTTTTTTTTTCTTTTAAAAAGAAAAGAATACTAATTTTGGTAAATATTCATCTTCCAGAATTAATTAATTTTTCATCCTAATAAATGTGGTTTCTTTTTACAAGTATTGGACTTTTTCCTTTCTCTAAAAACAAAAACAAATGATATTTAGAATTAATGGACCAAAATTAAAAATATTCCCATCATTCTCAACTTTTCTAAGTTTAGATGGAAAAAACAGTACACCATCATTTAACATTGTTAACATTGTAACAATTGTAAAGTGGAGGTGTGATAGACCCAATTTAAGCATAATTCAACGGATTAAAACCTATTCTTTTGGCCAAAGATATTGAAATTCGAATTTTCATCCATTTATTTTGAATTAAAGAAATAAAAATTGAAGTTTAATCATAGAGTGTATGATCTAAATCTTTGATTCATACCGAACGTAATGATATTTTACTAAAATATAAGTTGTAGAGAAAATTAAGTAGAGAGGTCCAACACGCACATTCATTCCATTTTATATAATATTCCTTTCAAATAAAATTTTTAATGGATAGTTTCTATTTTTTAATATAATATATATTTCAAAATGAAAAAAAAAAACCCCTAATATATTTATGTACTCAAAATATATATATCTTCTTTTCATTTTTATTTAGCTAATAGGGAGAAATCTCTGTCCATCCCCTCCTCATTCTTCACCCCATTTAAGGTGAGACTCCTTAGTGTTAGACGCCGCATTTTTTAAGTGAATATTTGTAGAATTTTGTAAGACAAATTATATGTTATAAAAAAAAAATGATAAAAAAACAAAGAAATTTGTAGTGAAAAAAGGTTGAACTCAATTAAAGTGTGTTTTTTTTTTTATTTTATTTGTTTACAACATAAACCCTATCCGTGAGTTATGTCAATTCTAAGTCATTACTGATTAACTCCGACCAATAAAAATTAAAATGTTTATATAATACAATTCACAAGATAAGAGAAATTAACATGTCAGTCGTCGTGTGATAATCTATGTAAATAATATCAATTATGTCTTTCAATTTTAACATAGTAACCATCATATAACTTCAGGAATTAAATTCTGAAAATATGGAAAAAAAAAAATAGAAATTACATTACAAATTCACCATAAATGAAAAATATATTTAAAAAGAAGTGAGAAATAAAAGAAAACCAAACCATGTCAAACAAAATAAAGCAAACTTTTAATTATGAAATCTAATATTCTAAAAATAATTTATGGAATAAATGTAAAAAGAGAACCATTGACGGACGATATATTCGCGATAAAATCTATTTTGATTGCGTGGACTGACAGCTGGCTTTATTTTCAGGGAACTTCGCCGTTCAACTGCCGTTACACTGTCGGTTGCGACGTCTTGACGGAGCCTGAACTATGACAGTGCCGCAACCGCAACGGTCGTTTTTATTCTCACCGTCTCCAAAGCTTCTAAGCCGTGAGATGGAAGTGATGGCCAGATGTCGGAATCTCGTCGGTTGTAGGTGGGTCCATGAAGCCACGTGGAACGAGCTCAGTTGATAGAGATGTCCTACTTGGACAAGCCCGGCTTCCACCTCACGCGCCGGCCAGAGAAAGAGATTGGGCACCACACCCGCTAGATTCGCGTGAGCGATCGGTAAGGGGGAAAGAATGGGTGTCTCAACTGTGAACTCTGAACGGCAGTGGGCCCCAGGACCACGTTGTTATTTAGAACTGGTTCGGTGTCTTTTAGGGGAGTGGCACGTGCTAACTTGTCGCGCGTGAGATAGCGCGTGTTTCTTTTATTTTTACCCATTATTACATTTCTTATTCTATTCTTATTTCACTTTAAACCAATTTGTTTCTCTAATTTTTAATGAAAAATGCTATTAAATTTCAAATAGTTATTAAATATGATGAATTTTATACTATAAAAATTAAATTGTTATAAATTTTAAAATATATAAATTAAATTATTATAAATTTGAAAATACCAAACTGAAAAATTAAATAACTAAATGGTTTGATTATTTTATAATCAAAAGTATTTTAAAATAATTTTAGAGTTTGAAATTTTTGAATGGAATATAATATTAAGGAAGACTTTGATTTTAATGGATATTATCTTCCTTTTAAAAGATTAATTTGATCAATTATTGGTTGAATTGCAATTTTTCGATAAAATGATGGAAGTTTTTATTTTTTTTCTATATGTAAATAATTCAATATTTACTTTAATTTGTTAAAATAAACTTCAATAAAGAAAAATGTGACTCTTTTATTTAAAAATTAAAAAAATTGATTATCATATTTATAAAATTGGGACGTAACTCATATAATTAATATTGGAAAAAATAATTAGTGATATTATGTGAATAATTAGCAATTATTTCAATAAAATAATAAACCAATAGGGCTGACATCTTCAAGGATAGCCACCATTAAGGTTTCAAGCTAAGGGTTGACTAAGGATTCCACAATGGGTGGCTTAAATAAAAACATTATTCTATTTTTTGTGGGTTTTTTTTTTTTTTTTTTAATCCGTGGGTTTCTTAGAGCATTAAATACAAAAATATTATTTTATTTTTTGAGTTTTAAGTAGGTTATTTAGCTGTTATGTCATGTTTAAATTAATCAATAATGATCTAAGAGTGAAAAATAAGTGAAAAATAAATATTTTTAATTAATGTTAATATTTAATTAATCAAGATGCCCAAATCATCTCTTGGAAAAAAAGGGATTTCTAACTTCAAGAGGCAGCTTATATTATAATGTCAGCAAAACAAAATAAATTTATTTCCAAGGAATATCCCTAACTTTATATCAATTTGAAGCATAGTTTTAAAACTATATATAAGACAAAATGTAGCAAATAAGTTGTCACAAGTTGAATACTGTGTGTTTGGCCGAAGAAAAATTTAAGTGGTTGGATGGTCCATGTCCAATGCTCGGGTAGCTACCCCAACCAAATGATCGGATGATATTGTATATCTATCTTACTAGTTAGATGTTTAAATCTTGAGCTCTTTTGTTATGTTCTGAATTAATTTGAACTAAAACACGTTTTTGGATAAATTTTAAATAATTAAACATATTTTAAATTCAACAATGGAAGGTAGAAGATCAAACTAAGTTTTAATATAGTAATTAGTGTCATATATACTAAGACAAATACTTTCTTCGACATCGAGATAAAAGTGATTAGAATTAATGCATTATAGTTTAAATTCGTCATTCCAACTAAAAAGTGGATAATATATTGGGAAACAAGTGCTTCCAACTTAAATTTCCATCGTAGACTTTACTTTTCATCTTCTTCTTAGTCCATAAATTTTAAAGTCTATTTTATTTTTAAACTTTTAATTTTGTATCTAAACCGTCTTAAACTTTACCGTGTCTTATAGGCACTTAAACGAATCTCTGAAAAAATCTATAAATTAATAATATATAAAATTGAAAGTTTATAGATGTATCTAACTCTACGGACCAAATACACACACTTAAAAGTTCAAGAACCAAACATATTGAACCTTGAGCGTTTAAGATCTCAATCTATAATTTAAACAAATATTAATCCTACACCAAGAGGGCCAAGCTAAGGTGCTGAGTGCTGTACAAAATGAACCAAAGGTCCAAGTATAATACAGGATTTGTGTACATGGGAACCTCCCTCAGTGGCAAGTGTGAGAAGGGAAAAAAATAATGAACATATAAGCTTCGGTTTCTCCTGCACAGGTTCAGGTGCACAAGCTGCTCAGTGGAGTGATAGAAGAGGACTTCAAATGGGTTTTTTGTTGGATCATCATTTAGCCCACTGAACTCTGCCACCAAGAACGGAAAAGACGACTTCAAAAGGATGAGTAGCAATGATTTGATGTGAAAACACTCCTGCTGCTGTCTCCTACAATTTGTCTTTCTCGTCATCCTGTAGGTTCAAGACAAATTTCATTACAAAATAATAGGCACACGATAAAAACATAAAAATGTAATCTGACTTAGAATTCCACCACCACCAAAGTTCAGCAGCACATAAAAAGTGAATTTGGAGTGATGAATGAATAAAAATGTTTTTTTTTTCTTAAGAATATAGTGTTTGGTTCTTGAAAAAACTTGTCAAATTTTTTTACTATCAAAAGTGGCTAGAGAAACACTAAAAATAGATCAAAAGAACTTAAATGCTTTTAAAGAAAGCAACTTGTTCTTTCTTTTCATGAATCCTAATACAATATGTAATTCACTTGAAAACACTTTTAGGAGAAAGTTAGTACTGTGCAACTAAGAATTCGGATTACATGGATAGGGAGGGTGTTCAAAATCTGTCACGGATGGGTCTGAGACATCAGATTTTATGGAATCAAAGATGAACCAACGGGCTTGATGGTGTTTTTTCGAGGAGCTTTTTGCATTTGGCTGTCATTGGTTTCATAAGAATATTACTTTGTTTGTTAAGTCAAAACCCTTGTTTGACATCTAATGGAGTGATATGTCTTGGGCTTTATTTGACATCACCCGATCCCCACAGCCATGAACATAGAAGGGGATTTCAAATGGACGAAAGCAATGAATCAATATTAGGATAAGAACAAGTAGAACGTCATCTACAATTAGTATCTCGTCGTCTTATGGATTGAAGACAAAATTCAATTACCAAATAATAGGTATACGATTTTGGTAACAAGAAGAGAAAAATTAACATTTTCAGATTTTGACTTCCAGAACTAGCAAATTACAGTAATGCATGAAGCTGAATTTACAAGGAAACTGCAGTACAGCTAAATATCTGAGTATTCATTAGGAATTCTAAGTGTCCAGAACCTTACACACCTCAACTATTCACATGAAACAACTACCTCATCCTACCCCTGGTTGTCAAGATACCTCGTACGATATCAAATTCTATGGAGGTTGTGTGAAATCACACATCGATTGGAGAGAAAAATGAGCGGCAGCAAGGACGCTAGGCCTCAAAGGGGGTGGATCTAAGATCCCACATCAGTTGGAGAGGGAATGAAACATTCTTTATAAGGGTGTGAAAACCTCTCCCTAGCACACGCGTTTTTAAAATCTTGAGGGGAAGCCCGAACAGGAAAGCTTAAAGAGGACAATATCTGCTAGCGATAGCTTGAGCCGTTACAAATGGTATAAGAGCTAGACACTAGGTTGTGTGCCAATGAAAGGGGGTGGACATCGAGCAGTGTGCCAGCAAGGACGCTGAGCCCCGAAGGAGGGTGGATACTGGGCAGTGTGCCAGCGATGATGCTGAGCCCTAAAAGAGGTGGACATTGGGTGGTGTGCCAGTGAAGATGTTAGGTCTCAAAGGGGAGTGGATTGTGAGATCCCACATCGATTGAAGGTAGAAACGAGTGCTAGCGAGGACACTGAGCTCCAAAGGGGAGTGGATTCTGAGATCTCACAATGGTTGGAGAGTGAAACGAAGCATTTTTTATAAAGGTGTGAAAACTTCTCCCTAGCCTACGCATTTTAAAAAACTTGAGGGAAAGCCCGAAAGGGAAAGCTTGAGGGGAAGCCCGAAAGGGAAAGCTTGAGGGGAAGCCCGAAAGGGAAAGCTCGGTTGGAGAGTGGAACGAACTATTATTAATTTCTAAAAACAAAATTCTGTTTGAAAGAACTTGCACAGATTATGGATTTTGTTTGAAAGTTGTTTTGAATTGTTCCTAGAATAGAACTAAAATCAACCTATTATAAATCCAATTAAAAACTCTAATCGTGAAAAAAAAGCAAATATATGATCACATTCTCTGGTAGGAGTTTCTAAATCCAATTAATGACCACAAAATCTCAGCAACATAGTAACACAAAATTCATAAGAAACTTCAATGAAAACCTTGGGATGCCAGGCACAAGAGATTAGTCAAACGTGAAAACAGGGACGTAAAGCAAATGATAAATTCTACTTACCGAACTGTCAACCATTTTGTCAAAATCATCATCAAAGCCCTCATCTCCATCATCTGAAAAATCAGGAGGAATATCAGAGGCAGCAACCTCAAATGACAAAATGACATCAACAGTATAAATGAACAAGCAACTATATAACTGGACTGTGCATATGCTATGCCCATTGCTAATAATTGCACCAAATAATGTTTGAAGCCATGGAAATGACCAATGGCAGCCACTCCCTCAAATCACTTGTTTTCAATTCAAGAATCACATTTCTCTAGTGTCTTCCTTTTAGATAAAGAAGTGAGCAGTTTTTTGTTCTGCCTCATAAAAAACGTCAGTAGGGACTAAAAAAGATATATGCCAATTGCTAATACAGCCTCTTGACGACAACAGTTTGTCATACTGTTAACATTAACAAGCTTGAACAGACAAAATCAACAACGTCAAAGGAACAGATCTTTGTTTGAACTTTAAAGATTACGTAGAGGCATGATTTCTTTGTCTGAAATCTTTAGTACAGAGCAGACATCAATAAATTGTGGCAATGTACCTGGACCTTCATCGCTGTCTCCAAGATCCCCAAGAAGAAATAGGTCCAAGTCTTGGTCAGTTGATGAGGAGGTTGGAGCATTTTTCTTCTCATGAGAATTAGATATTATTTCAGTTTTATCAGGTTCCTTCTTTCCATCTTCAACTTATTTAGCTGATTTCAGCATGACATCCTCCATGTACTTTTTCTCATAGCTTCAGAAGTAAAAGAATATAGAACAGGAAAATTTGACATTTCGTTAATGAAATTCTTTAAGATTAAGGCCTGAAGATCAGGACACAAACAAAGAGTTGACAGATTGGTAAGAAGCTAAGTGTACAAAAAAAAAAAAAAAAAAAAAAAAAATTGAAGTTTTTAAGTCTTCAATCCAGTATCTTTTTGTTCTTAAGGTCATCGCCAGATACATAAAGCATTTTTTGCGTTTCCCATACCCCATTGTATACTTAGTCAAGGCTTATTAACTTGTTCCTTTGAATCAATTGACAAGAAATACAAATCTAGAAGCTGTGACGATTTCTGTAATCAAAATTCAAAGTAAGCTAGAGTCAAGGCTCGAAATCAAGACTTAAACTTACGGTGCAATGTGTCTGTTAACCAGCAAAAAGTAAATCCTCCAGAATTTTCTCTCTTTCATAATGCGTGGACACAATTCATAACGTAACGTAGAAATTTCCTGCCACGTTACATAAAAATGGTTAAAAATCATGTACATTGCAACAATGCATGTTATCAACGAAAATGTAAATTCATTTCTCAAGCTCATCCATAATGAACTGTGAAATCAAAGTTCCTCTCCAGTGGGTAGAGAAAGCTACATTCATCTTCACTGGTGACATGTTCATAATAGTAATACCTTGACAGTTGAAAGAACAAGGCTTGCATGCTTTGTCTGCCACACAGTTAGATCCTGACTAATGTTTGAGACTGTGGGGACATTGGACACTTGTGAATCATCTACGCAAAGGGAAATGAACCAGTTTAGAAACAAGGTTTAGGTGATAGAGAAAATAGAAGAACATATTACAGTTATTCCAATTAAGGTCTTCGGATGGTTCATGCCAATGAAAGTAGTTCTTCAAATTCAATGGCCCCCTCTATTGAGATTTAACCTTCGGTGTTCGTCAATTCAGTATCAGTTAAGCCTAACAATCTTCATTTCTAGAGCTTAAATGCTTGATGATCACTGACTACATACTTCCCCTGTGTTACCTCCAACCAATCCCCCTACTGATACTTAGTTCTATGATCCTCAATCTTTCAACCAACTAGCCAAGAGAACGGAGAATTAAAGAAAACGAATCAGTTACCTTCGAGTGGGAAATCCCGAAATGTACTCATGGTGATGCCTTTGACAAAGTCCCTCAGCTCTTCGTTTATTCCAAACCTCTGCAAATCCTCCTCCGGCGTCTATACGTCGGAAGCGTTCTTCTCAAGAGCGCCAGACGACGGAATCCCCCCGACCAAGTGCTTGATTAGATCGGCTCGCTTAGCAGCTTCTGCTTTAATTTGATCAGCTCGCTTCGAGGCTTCAGTAGCGAACTCCTTGGAGCGTTTAGCTGTCACGGAAACGTTATCGGACAAACTAGAGGATCCGATCGTGAGCTCTTGGGAACGCCTTGCAGCCTCCAGAGCCAACTCCTGAGAGCGCTTCGCTGCTTCCTCGGCGAAATTCCGAGCTTTGTTCCAAAAATCCATGGCTGAACCTGAACGTTGAATCTAACTTCGCGCGCTCTCTGCTTCTTCGTTTCGGTCTCGTCGTCGACCGGAGGAGAGAAGAGGAAGGACGAGATCCAGTGAGGGAAGGCACACAAGTTCACGCTGGTCTATGTAATAAATATTGCAAAGTCGCTAATTGGAATATTAAAAATAAAATAAAATATTTTATAAGTTAATAATAAGGACAAAATGAAAAACAACAATGCGGGGATAGCTCAGTTGGGAGAGCGTCAGACTGAAGATCTGAAGGTCGCGTGTTCGATCCACGCTCACCGCATAATTTTATATATCTTTTGTTTTCACGACACGTGTCCGTCCTTTTTTAATGGGCTTTCATTTCATTCCAAGTTAATTTGGGCCTGCTTCACGACTTACAAATGGCTCTATTCTTATTTTAAGATTTTTTTTTTATTATTATTATAATAAATAATAATAAAAGGAAAAGATTAAGATGAGTAAAATAATATTTAAACCTAAAACGAAGGCCCACATTCTTAGTTTAAGTGGGAAGGAAAAGGGAAAGAAGGAATTGAAGGCGGAAGGGTTGGAGTGTAATCCATGTGCTGTGACTTTTGTACTGATACTTATCCATTGGGAGTTCCAAGAAGCTTCCACGACAGTCCCATTCCTTCCTCTTCCAATTATTCTCCAATTCCGCCCTTTCCCCACAGTTTCCTCTTTTACAAACTCGAGCCCCCTTGTCCTGTCTCCCTCTAAAGCTCTCCCCTGTTGACCATTCTTCCACGTTTCTCTGCAACTCTTCCATTCTTCCAACCCCCTCTCGCCACAACACTCACCCCATCCCACTACTCAACGATCTACCCAATGCCTTCCCATTCACTCATTTGAATCTTTTCCAATCTCGAATCCGTCTTATGAACCGCAAAATTTGCCAAAAACCACTTGTGAATTCGAACATAGATCCAGGGTCCTCCGTGCCGGAACTGAAGAACCACTCAAATTTTCACTCTGCGGTGGAAGGTCTCGCCGATTCAAGGTTCGCTTCTTCTGTTTTTCCTCTCGCTTTTAACTCTTTGTGGGATTTTTGTTTCTTGTTGGATTGGGATTGTTTCGTCTGATTTTATTGGGATTGTTCTGAAGCTAATTTAGTGTGAATCGAAGTGGAGATTAGACTCGATTTTTGTTCCTCTTTTGAATTAGGGTTTTTTTTCTTTGTGTAAAAGTTTTGTACTCTGGTTTCTAGGAATCATGATGGTTATGAATGTGATGAGCTCCAAGAGACAAAGGCGTCCAAATGTAAGACTAGGGGAAATTGGGGATATATCTGCGGCTTGGGCTTGTGGGTTTTCTCATAGCACTAGAGATAAGTTAGCTCATAGGGAATGGAAACATGATTTACTCCAAACTGTGGGTGGTGATGATGATGATGATAACCCCATTGTTTTTGGGGACTTGGAGCCTTCAACTCCCAAGCTCACTGTCTCTGAGTTGGGTGCCTCTCCACAAATTTCAACAGAGTTGCAGCAGAATGGAGAGAACAATAATAACCCCAATTCTTCTGCATTGCCTTTGGAATGTCCTCCAACTTCTGCTGGACTGAAGTTTAGTGATGTGACCAGGAAGTGTAGAAATATGAAGCGGCGGGGACGTAGTCGAAACGTTGGCTACGTCGTTCTTGGTGGCAGTTGGAGCTCGAAACATAGCTCAGATGACTGCTCGATGAATGAGAAGGAATGTGAGGGGACACGTAATTCTGCTAATGGTTATGGTGACTTCTCTGATCACCAGACACCAACCACTAGTAAAGAGGAATGTGGCATTGATCAACCCTCGACACGACAAGATCGTGAGTTAAACAACGATTCGCAGTTCATTGGTGAGAAGGGTAGACACAAATCTGGCATTGTGCAGGATCAAATGAGATTAAAAGATGACGATACGAATGCTGTCGGTAGATGGTTAGAGGAGGTGGGATTTGGCAAGTATGCTGGGGTGTTCGAGATGCACGAGGTGGATGAGGAGGCTTTGCCACTGCTGACCATTGAAGATCTCAAAGAGATTGGCGTGTTTTCTGTCGGGTCTCGGAGGAAGTTGTATAATGCAATCCAACAGTTAAGAGAAGGAGGAGAAGGAGAAGAATAAGGTATCTGAAAGCTTAGAAAGCGAAATGCGCACAGAACCACAGAACTGCTCGCGCTCTTTTAAAGTTTATCGTTTGATTGTGCAGGAAAAGACCATGGATGTACATATACCTCTGACATATTTTGTATTGGCTACATGCCTGAACACTCTTAACTTCCTTTTGGCAGTAAAGTTGATGGGTTCATTTTGAAGAAAAATAATGAGATTCTTGTGTTCTTCATTTTGGTGTTGCTGCTATAGAGTTAAACTAGCAATGTTCCTGCATATCCGAGTGTCATTCTTCCCCGGTTTGTGGGATTGAAAGCTCTTGGGATGGAAAGAAAAATGGATTTTCATTTGAAATTTTTGTTTGAGAAAGCCTGATGATATCTTCATGTGACGGGCCTATTTTTGTACTGATAAACGCTTTAAATTTGCTCAGCCAACACATTCTCTGCTTGCACTGTCAAAGTTTAGGCTTGACAAGATGAACCCCAGCAGGATGAAGCGTGCTCTTCATCCAAAGAGGCTCGAAAACGACTTGGTTTGACATATTGTTACTTATCAAACTAAGTACTCGTTAGAATGACTTTCTAAATGTTTCACAATTCTTATCTTCGTCCTTTTTGTTTTTGCACTGTTTCTTTCTGTCACGGTAAAGGCTCGATCATAAGTCATCGTTGAAAAGGAGTGAGAACAACACGAACATAGGGAATATAGGGAGCTAGAGGAGGAACCAACATAAGCAATAAGATAAAAGAGGAAAATAGTGAGTAAAGAGAAACGAGTTAGAAAAACTTGGTGATATCTAATCTAAACACCCTGATTTAGGCCAATAGTATGAATAAAATAGTTATAAAATCTAGTCATTTCCTTCTAGATTTTATTGGAAGAACGCAAGTTGAGTGACTTGAGTCCCACATCGGAAGATTCGCGAAAGAAAGCGTGGCAGCAGAGTATAAAATAGATACAAGAGATCCCATAAAAACTTACTTACCTGGATGAAATCAAAAAAATCAGAAAATGTTACGGGTTGGTGACCACCATTGCACGACGGAGGGGTGCCCGCCTAAGGTCTGCCCACGTGGCAGAGCCTACGTCATGATTTGTTGTAGTGGAGGCCTGCGTTCGCGCGGCCTTTACCTAATTTCGGAGCCCAAGATTTGGCCCATTTACGTATTGGGCTTAGCCGTTCAATTTTTTAACAGATCCTAACGTCCGTGTATCAAATAACATTAAAAAAGTCTTTTTAGTTACGTACACTTGGCTTTTATTTTTTAAAATATTTTTTTTTAGTTTTTTCTATTTACTAAAAAAAAAAAAAAAAAAAAAAGTAATTATAAACTTATTTTTACAGGACTAAAAATAAAATAAAAAAAAAAGCCTAAAATAATGACTCAGCCACTGTATTACGCCACTTTTTGGGGAATAACAAGACTAATTCAGTTAAATACAAAAAAAGAAAATCTTTTCTTTTGGTAATAAGGGAGAACTGAGATTGAGATATATAAGGAAGACTTAAATAAACGAAAAAGACCCATAAAATAATTGAAAATGTAATAAAATGAAAAAGGGGAAAATGGATAAATATTTGATTTAATATCAAAAAAGAAAAAAGATCTAAAAATATAGATTAAAAGTTGGGGATTGGGTGGAAACTGGAAAGAGCTTGGTCTGCATGTGCACAATATGAATGCAAAGCTGGCCAGACGGCGACATTCTTCAATTCCCTCCAAATTACCATCTTGCCCTCCCTTCCCTTCCTATGTTTTCTCTCTTTCATTCATTCTTCTTTTGACCTTCGCTGTAATTTCCCTATTGAATAATATATTCCCTTTTTAATTAATATAAAAATAATTATATAAACTTCAGTTTTTTCGGTTCGCACAGACAAATCAGTTTGCCATAATTGCCATTCCAACTCATTCCACATTATGTCCATTATGTCCATTATCTTAATAATTCATCCAAAATTACCCATTTTATTAAAATATTATTTAAACTTCGTTTTCATGTATTTTCATTAAAAATAAAAAAACAAAAGAAATCTATATCTCAAATAATTGAAATTAAACCCCATGATTGAAGAAAATGAAGGGAGAGAGATAGACATAATTAAAAAGAGAGATATTTATAAAATAAAATAAAATAAAACAAAAAACAAAAAACAAAACAATCAGAGGCCCTTCCCATTTTATATTTAGTGGCCTCTTTGTCTTTGGCACCAAATTTCTCTCTATATCGAGAAGACTAAGACAGATATATACATAAATTTTTGTGCATTTTTTTTCTCTATTTCCCTCTCTCTATATATATTTAATATTTAGAAAGTTTTATTAAGCATTCAAAAAAATTAATATGATTTTATTCCACATAATATTTTGCAAAATTAACGCCACAGTTAAAGTAGAGAAATTAATTTCATGAATGGTGTGGTAAATGATATCTTTTGAGTTGAAATAAATGATAACAACGTGGGTTTGGATAGCTACCCGACCTAGATTCGAAAGAAAAAAACGACAGGACAGAGACGGGTTAGATTTTGAATTTTTGGCAATCGGGCACCCGGATCCACCCTAAACCTAACTTCCCATTCAAGAAAGTACATTTTTCCCTCCTTTTTTCTCTTTTTTTCCCCCTTGTTTCCTTTTTCACGAATGTGATCTTTTGGGTACTTCGGTATTTGTACTATTGTACAATTTTCTCTCATTTTTAATTCTCCTTTTATTATTTATTTTAATAGAAATTTCCATTTTATATTATTATATTTAAATAAAAATAATAATTTATTTAATATAAATTCCACGTTAGCTCAATCCCGCCGCTAACAAACAGTCTCACCGTTTTAAAACGCGTGTTAAAGAGAGGTATCTATACATTTCCCTCTCCAACAAATGTATGGGAGATCATCTAAATTGAAATGAGGGTCGAAATTTTCTAGTTTATATCATTTTGGTTTAATGTGGAAATTAGTGGACGAGTTTATATTAAATGGAAAAATAAATAATAATAATAACACAAATATATTTAAAAAGAAAGATTAAAACCCTAAGCCAAGGGGTTTGCCCTAACTTGGAAGGGAGTGACCCATGAAATCTGTGGGACCCACACTTTTGGGTCTTGGAAAATAAAGACGGTCAGGTCAGCCAAAAATAAAATTACACATCATAATTAATTTTCTTCTAATTATGATAATAATAATAATAATTATTATTATTATTATTATAGGAATATTGGAATTTTTAGAAAAGAGTGGGCCCAAAAATCACATGACAAGTGGGCCCAGTAGAAGGAGATGTCAGTGTCCCCATTCCAACCGACTGGGCCTGAGCCCATAGTTGGTGGCTTACGACAGCGACACCCATTACAATTCCACAACACAACTAACCCTCTCCCTTCCAAACCCATATCTTTTTCCCAATCTTCTTGATTGTGATACCTCCCATCTTTTCTTTCCTTTTTTTTCTTTTATTTTTTTTTTAATTTTTTTTATTTAATATCACGCTTAAAAATAAATTAAATACCAATTATTTTTTAAATGTCGATAGCTCGATCGTCTACTCCATAACCATACAATTGAAGAAAAAGTCTCGGAGGGAAGAATTAGGGTAAGAATATACTCTTCATTTCCAATCTTACTCAGCTAACTGAGAGAAATCTTTCCCTACTATCTCTTTATTACTTGCCTAATTTTAGGGCAGATACTCGTAGATTAAAGACCAAGGTATCTCTAATAAAAATACATAATTATGCAAGTTTATAATTAGGGGGCCATAGGCTAATTAGGATGGGAGAGAAATAGGGTTAGAAATTTTTGGAGAGAGAGAAAGAGAGGGAAAACCTAATATTGGATCCCATGTGCATGTGAACCTGCTTTCTAATTCCCTTTCAATTACGTCCAACCAACCATTCACATATCAATATCACAAATAAAATAAACTATTTAAATTAATAATTAACTCTATTATAAATATTATTCATATTTGTATTGAAATTAATAAATGAGGTTCTTATGTTTTACATGTATTTATAAACTATATCCAAAATATAGATTAATTTTTAATATCATATATTGATATACTATTTAAATAAATAAATATAATATTTGTAAATATTACAAATAGAGTATAGTATAAATTATGAATTATATAAGTTAGAAGCACACGTGGGGGGCGTCAGCAATAGTTCCTCACAAAGACTCCCAGATTGGATTTCTCTACTGTTACGGTCACCCACTATGACGGCCCCACCCAGACGGTTGGATTTTACCCGCTTTTATAAATCAATCTCACAGCCCCGTATTATTATTATTATTATTTTTTTAATTCCATTTTTACTGCCCTTGTAATTTTTCACAATTGTACATTTTTGTTAATTAAAAATAATTATTAATAAATGAGACTTTGGTCTGGATTAATTAATTTCCTTGAAAAATAAAAAGTCAGTATTTGGGCGGTGTGTGAGGAAATAATAAAAAAAATGGAGAGTTTAAATTTCAAACACACATTTTCTGTATGTTGGTGCGGTGGGACCCACATCCATTTAATTTGCAGGCTGTATTTCACCCAAACATTATAAGAATAGAGAGAAGGAAGAGAAATTTTACCATATATTTTTACATTTTTATTTACTTCAGCTTCACAGTTATATAATATTTTTACAATAGTAAAAATTGTAAATTCTCCATAGTTTAATAAATAAATTAAGTGGTGCAGGTGAAATAATAGAATCCGAAGTGGAGAAATGATGAATGTGTAGTGTAGTTCAATAATTACATTTATTGTCAAAAATGAAGAGTGGACTCAATTATGGAACAAGTTTTTTTTTTTTTTATAATTAATTAAAAAAAAAAAAAAAAAAGCATCTAGCTAGGGTTACAGTTACCTGCAGGTCACTAGGCTTTTATTTCACCTCCAATCATAATTAAACACAAAATTTCATTTTTTTAATTTTCCTTTTTATGACGTGGCCTATCATAACCCTGAGCACCATGCACATCGACTCCCTGCACCCCTAATGCTTGTTGACTCTTTCCTCCCCACTATATAAAACCTAATCCCTCCTTAATTTCTTCATATATTTAATTTTATTTTATAAACCCCTTAAATACACGTGGGTAGAAATGTAATTTTGTATGATCTAGTCATTCTTATAAGGTAGACAAACGATAGGTCGGTCCTTTAAATTTTCTCATTTTTACAACGTTTCTTTAAACGACTTAAGAAACATAATTTACCTAATATGAATTAATTACTATTTTTTATTTATTAAATAATACATTGTGGTCTTTTGAAGGGTATAATTAAAAAAGAAAAAAAAAAGTAACAATTTTGATGGATAATTGTAATTTAAGTAGTTAGGCAAAACGACACCGTAGAGAATGGTGGGCGCATTAATTGCATATATTTTCAAGCTCGAAGAAGGTGATGGATCGTGGGTGCACAAATCACTATGATCCTTATTATTATTATTATTTATTTATTTATTTATTTATTTATTTACTTACTATTTTAAAGATTTATAATTTAATATTTTGTTGAATTAAATTTAGGAAGTTTATTAATACAAGAATAAAAAATAGCTAAACACAAAAAATATTCGACAAATCCTGAGAGAATTGGAGAGGTCGCATCGATACAAGGTTGTGCTACCATTCCTCTCGATGCAAAAGAGGATCCTTCTACATACGTGAATTTACATAACTCTTATTAGAATATATGAGTTCTCGATAGACGTTAAAAGGCATTCCTAAGACTCGAGAATTCAACCAATTTAAATTTTCCAACCAAAACCATAAAAGCTAGGTTGAGTTATATATTCTTTTTTTTTTTTTCAATGTAAGTTTGAAAAATCAACAATTCGGGTCAGTTTGCCAGTTGACATTTTTTTGGTTTAGTCAACTCGATAAATTTGAAAAATAGGGTTACAACTCAACCCACTCTACTTTTAACATTAATATGGAGATTAAGAGTATCTGACATTTGTAATATAACTGATGTTAGTGACGTGTTGCGTCTTATAAGATTTTAGTTGTAACATGTATTATAGATAAATATAATTTTTTAAAATTATTTAATAAAGATCAATTCAACAACCTAACTCAATCCAAAGTTGGTGGGTCAGATTGAGTTAGGTTGAGAACTTTATTTGGGTTGCTCGAATTCGGAACCCAACTAACTTAAAATTTCAAGTTGATTTAAAAGATTTTTTTAATCTAATCTGCGTGCACCTATAATAGATGCTGAATCAAAGTTAGACTATTATATGGTAAAAATATTAAATTTTGAGATAACGGGACGTTTTAAACTGAAGGTTCGAGAACGTAATAGGAAAGTGAATAGGGGACGAATGGGTAGAATATTGGGGAATTAGTAGATGTACTTATCCAAAACTTTATGTATAGTGAAAATTTTGAATGATGGGAGGCCACATCCACGCAGGCATATATGATTTGATTAATGTATGGAATGTTGATTACTATTTCACATAAAATTATATAATCATGTTTCTCCTCAGCCAATGAAACCTTGAAACGTGGCAGCGCGTGGTCCATTTGGGCTCGAGCCTACCAGATAAACTAGTGTGGCCGACAAGTCGACAACCGGATTGTGTGGTCGACAAGGACCTCTTCCTGTCGTCCGTCCACGTGTCCTCCATCCACCGCTTGATCTTCCTTTGACCGTACGGTCTTCTCCTTACCAACTAGCCCTCTCTCACTTCCCTTTTTACCCCTCCCTAAACCTTCTATTTCCAAACAATTTGAAATGTAGGAATAAAATTTAGTTTTATATTTTCTTTTAATTTAATTTCTAAGCTATTTTATTATTTCTAATTAATTTTTGTTAATTTTTAGTCACGGCCTTTTAATAAATGAAAATTTCACCCTTTAGAGGTTTAAAATAACGGGATCAAAATGCAATTTGAGAACAGGTTTGATTTAGAATAATTTTAGCTCTCAAGATCGATTTTAGATCAACTAATCCACGGGTGTAAATGATCACGGTATCTACTTTTGAAACGTTAGTAAATGCTTTATAGACCAACCCATGTTCGGATTAACAACGGGTTTAACCCACACTATTTAAGCCCCTACTCTAGACACACGCTTAAATGCTTATTTGGTCCGTTCCAATTCATGGGTAAGAGGGGGTAGTATGGTAAAATTGGGAGGGGGAGAGGGTTCATCTACACGTGAGGGATATAGTAGTAAATTGATATTTTAATAGAAAAAAATTGGACATATGAAGCTGCTCAGGGGATATTTGTCAGTGTTTGGAAGCTGAGATTCAGAGACTCCCTCTGTTATATCAAAAACTTCCCAAATTTCTTTATCATCATAATCCCATCCAACACTCCCACCAATTTTCATTTTTATTTTTTTATTTAAAAAAAAAAAAAGAAAATTGAAATCCCTCGGATCATCTTCAAAGAAATTCTTCTCAGTTTTCCCCCAAATGTGAGTCGGATTTTTTCTGAGGAATTTGTAATTGTTGCTTCGTTTTCTTCTGGTTTTGGCTCCGGAAATGCAAGACATCCACTCGATCGCCGGAGGAAGTCGGTTGTTCGGTGGCGGGGGTGACCGTCGTCTGAGGCCGCACCTCCACCACCACCAAAACCACCAGGCCTTGAAGTGCCCAAGGTGTGATTCTCTCAATACAAAGTTCTGTTATTACAATAACTACAATCTCTCTCAGCCTCGTCACTTCTGCAAGAGCTGCCGACGCTACTGGACTAAAGGTGGCGTCCTCCGTAACGTTCCTGTCGGAGGCGGTTGCCGGAAAACCAAACGCTCCTCCTCCTCCTCCAAGTCCACTCCCGATGTGGCGACGACGTCTCCTCCTCCTCCTCCTCCTCTTCGCGAACGTAAATCCACCTCTCATTCCAGCAGCGAGAGCTCCAGCCTAACCGCTACAACCACCACGGCTGCCGCCGCGGCGACAGAGGCCGTCTCTGCTCCGTCCTCCATTTCAACGTCGGCTCTATTGAGCGTACAGGATAGGAAATTGTTCCCCGCTCCGACTACAAACCCTAATTTCGAAGGTGCGGCGGGTGCGGGGACGGACTGCGGGATTTTCTCGGAAATCGGAAACTTCACGAGCTTGATCACATCGTCTAACGAGACATTGGCGTTCGGATTCGGCAATATGGGGGACGTGACGCCGTTTGCGATGAATCATCCGTTTCAAAATCAAGCGGCGAATCAATGGCCGTCACAGAGAATGATGAACGGTAACGATGAGGTGAAGATGCAAGAGATCACAGGCGGAGGAGGAGGGTACATGGATCAGACGGCACAGGTGGATCCATCAGCAGGGCTTCAGAATAGCAGATCAAGCATCATTGGATTCGGACCGTTAGATTGGCAATCAAACGGAGATCATCAAGCTCTGTTTGATCTCCCCAACGCCGTTGATCAAGCATACTGGAGTCAAAATCAGTGGAGTAGTGATCAAGATCAGCCTAATCTGTACCTCCCGTAAATCACTCGAGACCACAGTCAAGACGACTTTCTTAGCCGACCACCTCCGTTTCTTTTTTCTTTTTCTTTTAATTTTTTTTCCCTAATTTTAGTATATAATTAAAAAAAAAAAAATCTCTCAATTAAAAAAAAAAAAAAATCAAAATCAAATTTCGAAATATAAAAAGAAAAGAGAGATTCTTCTTCTTCTTCTTCTTCTTCTTCTTCTGTATGTAAATCCGCCTATAGTATATTGAATTTGAGCTTCGTTTATGATGAATTTCGGATTTTCGTTGCCCCTATAGGATGAGGAGGAGGAGGAGGAGGATGATGACGTGGAGAATATTGGGTGACGTGGGGGCCACGTATCTCTCTACAAAGGACGAGAATATGAAGGTTTTTTCTCTGGGCTTCGTCTTTTGGTTTCCACGTCACTTGAAACAGTATTACTGTGCTGTCACTGTCACTGTCACTGTCACTGTCACTGTCACTGTCGCTGAGTCTTGTGGTAATAAATACACCTCACTTTCTTCTTAATTACAATAATGCCTCCAATTCTTTCATTGTCGGTATCTCTCTTCCAACTTTGTTCATCATTTTTCGTATAATATTTCACAAATTACCTCCTTAATTTTACTCTTTATTCATATTTATTTATTGTTCAAGTTGTTAATCATATCGTACTGTCCAAATTTTGAACGTAAACATAAGAAAAATTGTTAATGTTTGAGAACTCCCACTGCCCTCTCTGTGGTTGTTGCTTGTGGGGATGGAGATTGGATTGGTAAGTACTCTGCTGCAATGGTCCTGGAATGGGAATTGGCTTGCTTGATCAAGCGAGACCTGACCTGTGAACTGTCATTTTCGTTGTCTCTCCCTTCTTGCTTCTACACAACATTCAACATTCATGATTCCAACTGCGATCTACCCTTCGATTTGGACTTGGCATATGGTGGTGGCTGATGGTGGTCCTTATCGTCATCCGCCCCTGCGCCTGCTTGACGACGCTTCTGACCGCTGCAAATCTTGTGCCATCTGAATTGTTTAGACTTAACCAAATCATGGTGGCAATGAAAGGGATGTAATAGTAGACGAGCAAACTTTGATAAGAAAGTAATACCTAAACGACAGATATGTGTGTGATCCTAGTCGGTTGAAATGAGAACGAAACATTCTTTATAAAGGTGTGGAAACCTCTTCTTAGGACAATATCTGTTAGTATGAGCTTGAGTTGTTACATATGATATTAGAGTCAAGCATCAGGGGTGTGGTAGCAAGGATTCGAGTCCCGAGGGGGTAGATCATGAGATCCAACATTGGTTAGAAAAGGGGAACAAAGCACCCTTTATGAGAGCGTATAAACCTCTACCCAACAGACACGTCTTAAAACTGTGAAGCTGACAGCAATATGTAACATGACAAAACAGATGCTTTTCCAAGCGAAATGGTCCAATGGAGCATCCTTTGGATGCAAAGTTTCTAGACTCTTACACTAGGCACCACTGAGTAAAGTCTCCCAAGTGGAACTGGGATTGCACTAAGCTTATATATCAAACGAACTACTTAACACACCAGGGCTCTAGAAACATCCAGCAATCTGATTATGGTCCTCTTCAATGGTTGAGGAGGATCTTATCTTTGCTGTCGCCATTCATCTCTTTCTTTGTGTTTATCAGTAGGTTCAATCAGCATCAGATTCAGATCTGTAAGCTTCATGTTTTCAATTTACTCCTAAACATACTTCATGTGTGGCCTCTATACTACCAACAAAATAACAGGTCTAACATATAGATTAAGAATATGAAACGAGAGAAGATTTAAAACTCCGAAAGTAATACGTTAATGCAATGTTCACTCGCTACTCGAGACGAAATTTGTAGTACAATGGCAGTACTAGAAATTACAACAGGGAAAACATCGCCTCCATAGTTGTCGTCTTTGCGTTCGCAACGTTTGCAACGGATCAGCTTTTGCCATTCTTTCTGGACTTCCAATCCATTCTGTTTCTAAACTGTGAATTCAAGAAGGCCAAGACAATGATAAACTACATGTTTCAATTTCAATAAATAAGGTTGAAAGAGAAGCAACATTACATACATTGGAAAAGAGAAAGAATGTGAGCTGTTGGTGCTGCTGTTCGACTTAAGCGATGCGCTGCCCAAAGAAGATGACAATGAGGGTCTTAAGTGATGCACCGCAGAGGAACCATCTTCATTCTGATGGTTCTCCGGCGTGTCATCCTCAGCCATGGATGCGCTTCCACAGTTATGGCAGTGCCGGCAACCTGCTGTCCAGTTGCTGCCAAGTTCAAAGTTACTCTTGCTTCTAGCAACTGCTTTGCCTTTGTGTCTGTTTTCATCAAGTATCTTAGTCAATGATCTTGCAATAGAGTTTGTCGAAGCTGCTTCCTTCTTACCTGTAACCTACAGAGTTTTCAGACAATCAAATCATGTCTTTAGCTAAAACAGATATCAATCAAGAAGCATGCTAAGCTAAGCTAAGCTAAGCTAAGCTAAGTTTACTCTCACCTTTCTATCAAGAAACAATATAGGCACAGATTTCATAATGGAAACCTCAGAAGAATAATCCTTTTGTTTCTCATTTACTTTGTTAACGAGGTCTTCCTCAAGGATCTGTGTTGATTCAGTACTTGAAACCGACGACTCCAAGTACTCGGATTCTTCACTTGATTCACAGTCACTTTCTGGTGTATTATGCTTGAGCATGTCAGGGGCGAAACCATTTTCTGTGTCACAATTCTCCTCGAGGCATTTTTCATGTGACATTACCACTTTGTCGATGCAAATATCTTTCACAAATTCTAAGTCGGTTTCTTGAAGGAAAACAACAAGCTCAGGAAACTCGTCATCCATTGAAGTCTTGAATGAACTCTTTGAGGAATACCGGCTGATTCGATCTCCAATTCCTTCTGATTCATTAGGATCATCATCTCTCTCTTGTACAACATAGTTTCTTCTCTTAAATGACTCGACATCGACTTTCCATTCACTCTTCTCCATGCTTCGGCTTTTATGCATATTGTTCACTACCAAATCAGAAAATTCACTCCTCATCTATTCCCTGATGTTGAACAAATAACCAAATTTGTTTCTGCTAATAAGTTTGATCCTTCCAATTCTTGTGAAGCTGTCAATGGATTTGTTAAGCTCTTAAAAGGAAGGAGATTGCATGCAAAGAAGAGAAACAATCATCTTATTTTGAATACTTGGCATGAAGAACAAACGAAGGATGTTCTACTTAATACTATCAGAAACAACCTAGAACAATCAGAAACTGACATTTTCACAAGAAACAGCCCAGGTCTGTACTTTTCTCAGCAGCTAAACAGAGACAGACAGAGAGAAAGTGAAGCTGAAATTACTATGGACATATATATACATATACACACACACATATATATACACAATCATCATAAAACATAAGATTAATGACCATCACCTGTCATTCAGACCAGATCAATCTCCGACCAGACCTTGCCAATGTCAGAGGAGAAGCATATGCAAGCACTTGGAGAGCATCAAGAAGGTGTAGTCTAGAAAACAGTAAGAAATGAAATATGTAATGTTCATCTTCAACCCCTTCTCTAAGAAGATTACAAAGGATGAAAGTAAAAGGTGGTCTGCAAAAACTACAGGCCTTATTAAGCAGAGACATAACTCAAACACATAAATGGCAGGCAACTAAATCACATTTAATGCCCATAAAAGTTCTAACAGTTCATTGACCAAAGACCTATTTGTTGCACAGCCCAATACAGAAACAGTTTCATTTAATATAATGAATATGGTATGTTCATGATGCTCATAGGATGCACTTACTACTTGGAAATATGAATGTATATGCTTTACACTATGAAGATTCATTCAGTACAAACTTAATGAAACTCTTCGGATAATATGGAATACTCAATAATCTTTAACCGGAATAGTTGTCAAGATCGTGGATCAATGTTACCTTGTAGCCAATCACAGTTTCCATTTCTCTCAACGAGAAAGTCCTGGCTAAGCAGTACTCATGAACAAGCCGGAAAATCCCCGTCCCACCGACCACTGGCATTTCCTGGAGTCCGTTCATGATGGGATTCCAGCCGACGACGCTGAACGAGCTGCCGTGGTACGGTCCACCGGTCATTACGAAGGTTAGCGTCATCAAAAGGCTGAACTCATTTTGTTGCGACGACATTGCATAAATCCTCTGAGCACGCCCAATCAACGTCGAGCCCTAATCCGGGCGCCACCGTGAGCGGGTTATCCATCATGAAAATAGACCCAAACATGGCGGCGATTGGGTCCGAACCCGTGTAGTTCGTCCGCCGGCTGGCGACTTGAATCGCGGTGGCGTTCGGACCACTCACAATATCGTGTACATGTAGAACTGAATCCGAGTCACATTTGTTGGATGATATCATACTATTGTGGAGAGTTGTGTTCGTCTAACAACATTAAGGTTTAACGCCTCAATTGAACGAACAACTAGGAGAAACGCCATGGAAAGCAGCGGCCATGGGTGCGTCGTTTCAGTACGAAACCAATTGCAGATTGTATTTTGGTGAATGGTCGATTATATAGCCAATCTGAGTGCAGAATTTTTTTTCAAACCCGTGGAAAGCTAGAGTTCACTGATAATTACATTGAAGAAAATTCTGTTCGAAAATTCAATCGATTTGAAGAACGAAAACATACCCAGAACAATCTGAGCATTTGATTGACCCTCGGCCAAAAATCAGCGAAACTGATCAAAGTCTACAACTAAAAATTTCGAAGTCAAGAGATTGGTGAAGTGGGGAAGAAATTCGGAGGGTAGTGTGCTTGAAAATTGTTGGATCGTCCATCGTTCAACGGTGCGTCTTTCATCCGCGACCAGCAAACGTGGCGGGAGACTAGAAACATGGGGCGCAAGTCTGTATTATTATTTTATTATTTTATTATTTAGAGTAGAAGGCCCAACTAATAAGGCTATTTATGAATGCCAGACTACAAGGCCCGACTACTTGGGTTTTTAATGAAGGCCCGCCTAATTGGGCTTTGAATGAAGGCCCGACAAACTGGGCTTTGAATGAAGGCCCGACTTATTGGGCTTTTAATGAAGGCCCGACTTATTGGGCTTTTAATGAAGGCCCAAATAATGGGGCTTTTTATGAATGCCAGACTATAAGGCCCGACTACTTGGGTTTTTAATGAAGGCCCGCCTAATTGGGATTTGAATGAAGGCCCGACTAACTGGGCTTTAATGAAGGCCCGACTTATTGGGCTTTGAATGAAGGCCCAACTAATGGGGCTTTTTATGAATGCCAGACTACAAGGCCCGACTACTTGGGTTTTTAATGAAGGCCCGCCTAATTGGGCTTTGAATGATGGCCCGACTAATTGGGCTTTGAATGATGGCCCGACTAATTGGGCTTTAATGAAGGCCCGAATAATTGGGCTTTAATGAAGGCTCGACTAGTTGGGCTTTTAATGATGGCTTGACTAATTGGGCTTTTATGTAATTGGGCTTTGAATGATGGCTCGACTAGTCGATTTGAGGTTGCTGGCCTGCGAAGCGAACATTTTCCCCGCCAAATTCTCAGGCATGTGTAACGGACTCCGGGGAGAAGCTTCATAGAGAGGTCGGCAATGGAGGAGAGTGAGAGGGAAACCAGTATCAAAACCCTAACCGGAGAGTCCTCGACGGTTTCTGTTTCCGGCGGCAGAACAATTTAGGACTTCAGCTTTCTACTCAGGGGGAATTTCCCCTTCTCAACCATTTCCCCTAATTTTTACTTCTTTTTCAAGGAAATGAACATCTCTCTCTCTGTCTCTCCATTAATTTTCTGTTCTTGTTGTGTTTTTTTCCCGATGATAGTTCTCATTTTCGTTCTAGGGCACTAAATTGAATCCGCAGAGTCAAACTAATGCGCGTCGCATTGACCATGGCGAATATCTAGTTCTCATTTCATTTATTAAAAAGGATTCTTCCAAATCCGAGCAACGCGATCAATATGAACAAGGGTCCAGTGTTTCGAGTGGAATCTCAATTTCTCAAATCGCTGGTTCTGTGTGGTCCGACATGGTGCAGGATTTATCGTATTTACATGACTGTTCTGTTGAAGGGAGAGAGGAAAATGAGGCTTATCGTGAGATAGGGGGTTTGGAAGTCGGAGGCGTGGATGCTGAACTGGTAGCGACATGGTAGTTCCAGTATCTTAATTCGAATGCAAAAGGTGAAAAGGGTTTTGTTTATAGTGACTCGAAAGGGAATTTAATCGTCTCCAACTGGGACGAACACACTTGTGAAATTCATGGTATCCAAGTTTTTGGATTCATTGGATAGTATATCCAACCCACGTAATGGGAATTGCATAGTAGCAAAGCAAGCATTGAGGGAATCACGGAAGAAGATATTTGGATAAAATTCATGGCATTTATCCTCCCTAAAGTCACCAACCAAGCAGAAATTTAATTCTCTTCGGGATTTTAGTCTTCAAATGCAGGGTAAAGATAGGAGAGGTATTATTAGACAAAAGGGGGGGAACAGAGATTTAGTGAATATGCATATTGTTGGATTCCCTATATTTTTTCCCCTTCAAGAGTAGCTTGAAAAAAATTCTGTAAGCTGAAAATTTTCTGTGAAAGCAATTATAGGTAAGAAAATGTGATGGGTGACTGGAGGTGTTGGTTGCCAATGAAGATCAAATGCTTCTGCTGGTCAACTTAATTAGAGAGCCTCAATGCAGCTGAAAGGATGCAGAAAAGAAGCTCTTATATACTTTGCTGCTACGGCGGTGCATCTTGACTGAGAAATCAGAGTAGACTGTGAGACATCTGTTCTTCCATATTCTTTTCTCATGGAAAGCAAGGTATTATTTAGATTTTTAGCGAGTTCTTTTAACATTCTTTAATGAATTGATTTCTATTTTGGAGTTTACTTGTGGTTATGTTTGTAGTTTAACATTTACTTGAGAGGAGAAACCATGATATTGGTGTATACTTGTGACTGGTTGGGAAGTAAATTCAGGGAGATACTTATCTTTATTTTTGTGTATGTGAAGTTCACTAAAATATAATTGAATTGGTCTTACCCAAGTCGTCCCCATTAAATCTGTTGTCATTCTGATGAATAGCTCCATATAGAAGGTGCTGGCTGAAGTAGCCGTACTGTGCTGGCAAGTGGCGACAGCGCACCCTCTGTGCCAGCTGAGCCCGTCAGCTCTCCGCCATTGACTTGCCAATTGTGATGGGCGTCGAACAACTTCATACAGAACTTGATCAGAGTATAAGTACTTGCATGTGATTTGAATTTGATTTCTGACTTTGATTTGTTTAAAACTAAAATATAATTTTGGTGATATATCTCTTATTGATTCAAGTTCATGTACCGCCATGTTTGCATAGGCGATTCACAGGTACATCGGCAATTGGAATATCAAAGCCATCAAGAGGACCCAAACTTGATTCAGTTGAAGCACATGAGCATATGTATGAACAATAAATTGATTTCAATTACATCACAGCTAAAATGTTCTGAACAAATTATTAAAGAAATTGACAAGTGAATAATAATCTGTAGCTTGCAGATCATGAGGGGAGTAAAAAGAAGAAAATCTACAGCTCGCTGATGGGAGAAGAAGAAGCTATCACCAGCCAAAAATGGATTCTCAGAGCCATTTTCCTCGTTACATTTTAACTTCTCTAATGTATAAAAATCATCCCTTTTCTTCCTCTTCTCAAGAAACTGGGGTGGAGTAAATAAAATCTCCTACCATAGTCAAAATTGTCTACTTTTTGAATCTACAGTGAAAGCATTGGTGGAAGATGTTGGTAGTACAGTTTTAACTTGTAATGCAATCTTCAAAATAAGGGTGGCTTTGATTTAAGTAACGTTTCCAGAGAGGCCTGTACCTGGTTATGGCCAGCTTCAACCAAGGCTTCATGTTCCCATTGAAGTGAATTACAGCTGCACTCTCGATCAAACGGTTGTCGATGTTTAGGTCGTAACCCAATCCTAAGACATGCCATCTCCGGTCGAGTGGTTCCGTTAGCCCATAGAAGGTTAATAAACCAGGAGGAAGAGTCCCTGGCTTCCAAAGCAAACCATCAGCATTTTGTTCCTGCCAGTAATGATACCGAGCAGTTACGTTTGCTTTCCTCCATGCAATTAGATCGAAAACATTCATTCCAAACGCCCATCCGCACGCCTGTGGATCAAACTTTGAGCTTATGATTGAGTTAGAGAAGTTCAAGTACTTGTAGTAACGATGAAACGCTTCGAGACAGGTTTCAACCACGCCATTCACGTTTCCATGCAAATCAACAGAAAATAGTGGCGTGAGGTCTTTCTGGACTACGACATCGTCGTCAAGAAAAACTACCTTCTCTAGCTGTGGATAGATCTCTGGAATGTAAAACCGAAGATGGTTCAACAATAACATATATTTCGGGTTTCGCAGTTTCGGATCAACTGCCAAATCCTGAAGCCCTCCAAAATAATACGCTCGTGTATTCGGATCGAGCATTTGTTTCAGAACAGGAGCATAAGAGGCATTCAGCCAAGAGAAGTCCTCAATCTTTTGGACTTCTATTGTGGATCCTTTAAAATCATTGCTAAGGAACCAAGTCTGCATAGCTCCATAGTTGATCCCGTTCGTGACAATGTGGAAGACCAACTGTTTCGGATGATCAGCACTAGAAACTGTGGAATTGACAACGACAGACGTTGCCAAAACGTTGTCCGAAAATATGCAAAAATGATACAGATTATTATCCACGACTCGCTGCGAGTTTTTCCTCTCATCTGCCATTTTTTGAAAGGAAGGATATTTCATCCAATCAGCTATGAGTTTCACATTTAGGCAGTGAAGACTCTTCGGAAGAGCTTCCGCTGCAACTTGCCCGAACACAGTGCTTTGCACCG